GTACAGATGGAGAAAATGCTCTATCAGTAACATTGAGAGACAATGTTGCCTCCTCAGGACATGAGCAACTAGCTGTCATTCATAGACCTGTTCATTCTGCTCTGAAGCAGATTTAAAAGGAAAAAAGCCAAAAAAGAAAAAAAAAAAAAAAAAGATAAATGGCCTGTACTAGTTTAGGGATCTGTCTAATCCAAAGGACTCCAAAGTGCCTCACAAAGCATTCAGTCATTCAAACATTCAGTGTGTGAATGTGCGTTCATACACACACTCACACGCCGATGGTGGCAAGCTACTGGATTATAGCCACATCTGCAGACTTACAGAGATGAACTGGATGACGCAAAAACTTTTCAAAGAGTTATATCATAAGAGGTCGTTGGGGAAATGAGAGCAAAGTTCAGCCAGGCGGTTTTATGAAAAACCAGGAGGTCTGTGTACCTGGATAGTCTAAAGCTCCTCTAAAGCTCCTAAAATGTAAATTTAACAAAAGCAGGTGATATCACTTTAGAACGGTTATTGCCATTCTTCATGCAGTCGACTAACAAACAACTGGCAGGGATGAAGCTTGTAAAGAGCAGAAACAATTTCTTAACATCGACTCAGATCAAAAACTTGCATAAAAACCACACTGAAAATGGCAAATATCAGCATCATTTTTATAAACCACACATAAAGATCATACTTAATAATCAACAATGCATACAAATGATCTGTAGATGCAATAATAACAATAATATCCAGCTTTAGGTGAGGGTGTAATTAGGATACCCACAAACCAATTTCCTTTTAAAATGGCTAAAATAAAACATGGCCACATCAATCTGGTGAGCAACACAAGATCAGGAAAGTCCTGGGCGGAGTAAAACCTCAGATTTTAATCTCGCTGAGATGCTGTGGGGGGACTTGAAACAGGCTGCACGCACAAGAAACCCCTCAAACGTCTCACAGTTGAAAGTGAGGCATGAAGCAAACTTTCCTTAGAACTGTGTCAGAGACTGGTAGATGGCAAGAAGCAATGCCATTAAACTTATTCCAGCCAAAAAAAATGGGTAAGACTAGCTATTCAGGATTAGGATCTCCCAGTGCTTTCCGCAGTAAGAATATACATTTTTGTTGGTACTGTTACTCTATTGAGTAAAACAATGTCTATTTTTGAATTCTTTACCAGAGTCTGTAAACAATGACATGTTCTTTGGTTTTATTTTCCACATTACAATAAGAATCAGCAGCTGTGTTTGTTCTCCTACTATCTTTGAGAATGTTTTACTGTAATCCTGAATTGTTCCCTTCCCAATAATATAAAATGCCGAGTAACCCTCATCCCACGCAGCAGTTAGTCAATGAGTTGTTTCAGTGAGAGTGTTTATGCATGTAGACTCACTTTCAGGAAAAAAGATAAAACAAGGATGTCTGTAGGAGACTTGGCATGTTGGTGAAAAGTGACATCATCCCCTCATGCTTAATAGATTCAGTCTGGTAAGCCCCTCAGCACAAGCAAGCCAACGGCCTCCATTTCTCAGTAGAAGAAGCATATTCTCATATTCTTACATTATTTTTATTCCTAGACGCATGGACAGATATAGACTGTTCGTTTATTGGAAACTTCACCTCTTCGACAGTGCCTCTGGAAGATGAGGAATTGCTGTGTGTAATAGTGCTGATGATTGACAATAAAAATAAGAGAAGGGAAAAGATGGAACAAGGACTGTGGCTGCTTTTGCACGCTGACCTCATATTTGGCCGCTGACTGTCAGTGGTCTCGCCACTCTGGCAAATATTTCCACTGTTTTTCATAGTTTAGCAGTTTTCCTCGGTTCTTTTCCACAGGTCTCTCTCTCTCTCGCTGTATGCCTGACTTAAAAGCTCGCAAAAGGATGACCCAATCAGTGTATCGCCCCTCTTGTGAACATCCATTTCACTTCCCCGTAAAAGTGGTGCCAGTTATATTAGGAAAATTCCCAATAACTCGAAAACAGAGTGGAAGTTACCAGAAACAAAAGGCGTATCAAGGGACGATAACACAGACGTCAGGGTGTGATGCAGAGATCAAGAAACACGAAAGGAAGTGACACATCCCACATAGTTGGGAATTTGCTTCTGTCTCACTCTGGAGGTTTACTGGAGGCAGCGGAGGGGCACCAGACGCCGCCTTCTGGGCAATAAACCGCCTGCCCCTTCTCCAAACATTCATCTTCCTTTTCTCAAAGATGCTGGAACGCCGGGTCAACAAGCTTCTGGGCATATTTGAAATGACCTCGCAACCTGACCATTCTGCGTGTCTTTCCGCATTGCGGATCTCATCTTAGACACAGCATTTCTCATGATTCAAGACCTGCATTATTATATCAACATTTGGATTTAATTTTGCTGAAATAAGGTGGATTTGTCCAAGAAGTGCAATGTAAGCAGTCCCCCTTCTTGAAATGCTAAAAAAGGGCCTGAAGCTGGCCCGGTGAACTGGCCCTTATGCCTTAAATTACAGACTTTCTTAGCCAGGAATAGTCTCCAAAGGAAGAGCTCAATAAGGCATAAAAAGAGGGTCTCATTGTGGGGAACGGGTGGGTGCTGTGGTAGAGGCCCACATCCTAACTCACGCCTCCTGTTCCCCGGTGCCTGCACACTTTGTGCATGACCTGACCATTTTGCAGCTTTTCAACCAATTATCCATCCATAAACATGGGGGATTTCCGAAGATTTTTCCATTCATCAGTGCAGCCGTACACATACGAACAGTGACAACACAGGACAGTGAATCAGTCTTACGAACTGCATGAGGGGACATAGTGGAGGTGGGAAAACATCTGCTTTACAGATCCTCAAACAGTAAATAACACAACCACATCACACACTCAAGGGTCAACTGGTTTGACCTGCCTACAACTTTGGGTCAAACCATATTAGTCACTGTGAGTATGCTGAAAGGGATCACGGTGTTTCCTGCGAGTCTTCATGGTGTTACAAAAGATCTGTTGTTGGGCAATTAACATGCACGCTCGCAGGGACTTTCACTTTTACCTCATGAACATCTGTAAACGTTCGTACGGGATTACTTAGTCATTTCCTCTGCAGAACACAATAACACCAGTCCCTGATTTGCAGCCATGTTGAGGGCAGCTCTTGAAATAATTTGTAATTTAATATGCTTTGTAGAATTTAAAAATGAGTCTGAAAGAGCCTTTGAAGAGCAAAGAGAAAAGTCATTACCTTTCCTGAAAATTACGCCGTAAAGTTCAGACGAACAATTTCTTTCCAGTAAAACCACCATGAGCACTTCATTAAAGCTGATATCTGTTTCTTAACTTTTAGTAACCCCCGTGTTTTTACATACGTTTTGTCCTGAAAGGGACAGATACACAACAGCACCGACAAAAATGAGTAAAACAAGTGTTTTATGCCTGTATAATGGCGCTTACAACAGGAGCTAATTTGCAGCACTTTTTCTGTAATGTATGTATGCACTGGCATGACTTATAGTCGAAACCAGAAGTTTACATACACCAAATAAAAGAGATTTTTTTTTTCTGACTGTCTGAAGTTGAATCAGAACAAACTTCTTGTTTGGTCTGATTTTTTCATCTTCGCATTAGCTGAAATGTTCCAAAATACACAAAATTATATAATATTACATAAGCTGCAGACAAGTATTTGCATCTTTGTTTGCCACTTTTTGAAAATAATCATACATTGCCATATTTTAGATATAATAAACATTCTGCATGTGTGTTCAGATTTGGTACTTGTACCGAATGCGAACAGCAAACGTTTTCTGCATTAATACATTTTGTTACTCTCTGCGTTTCTTGTTAGGAATCTTTTTCGTCTTTATAAACTGTGTTGTTTGTTATTGGGTGTGTTCGCTCCCATATTTGTGTTTTGTTGTGGCCAGCTTGGAAAATTGAGAAATTTTGGAGTTCAAGTGATGAAACTACATGCAAAGAGTCATGTTCAGAAATGCCACTCAAGAGAATTTCACAATTTCGGAGCGAATCAAACAAATAAACAGACATGACTTGTTGAATGAAATATTTTGTGGGTAAAGTGACATAAGAATTCAATTATTATAAACAGTTAGTCATACCCCAACTGATAACCTATAATGAAATATCTGAACTTTTTATTATGGTTAGTTTCTGAGCAGGAATTCCTCACATCCCATACTCTCTCCTCTCTCTGACTAATTCACTTCTGCTAGCTTACATCAGACTGGTGGAGCCGTCATGAATCACATTTAAGCATAAACAAGGATCACCTTTTTGTTGCATGTGATCAACTCATTTTTTGCAGTCACCGACACATCTTTAGTCACAGTGTACTTACTTTATAAACCACATGTCCATGCATGCAGGTGAGACACAGTTGTGTGTAGCTGAAATTCAGGAATGCGAGAAAATGATCTTATGTTTGTTGAAAGCGTAACTTCCTTGGAGGATCCGATGATTCATTGGGAGAAAACTGTTTAGCTTCAGCTTTCTGGCAGACAGCTCAAGTGTTTGGGCCTAAGCATACCGGTATTTGGACTTATTTATAACTTCCTCCGCTTTAAAAAAGAAATAATAATCGATGAGCAGGATTATGTGCTTCAATCACAGGCAAACAGGCCTTTTCATAGTTTTCCTCACTGATACCTTTGTATAATAACATGATTAGGACAGGTAAACATGCTACCAGTCACTATAGGTGATGTTGGGTGTGGAGAGGCCTTATTTTATACTTAACTTGAACTGTAAAGGATAAATGACCACAATGCAGAAAAAGCATTAAAATGATTTTCCAAACAGATCATTGCAAAATTCTCAAAGGGGCGCTTTCTTGTTTGAGAGCCAATGTCCGATCCACCACACCTCTTCCTTACTATGAGCCAAAAATCTACTGTTGTTCCCAAACGAGTTCTTTTAACTTTCAACTTTCCTGAAGCATGTAAAGAAAAAGAAGCAGCAACACTTTGATGACATTTTGAATCACTTTAATTGTTTCCCCAAGTGAAAGATATGATACCGATATTCATTGAAATACAAAAGAAAATTGTTGTAGGAACAGAAAACATTTAAAAGCAAATTTGCTATTTGATTTAAATTAGTTAAAGAGTAATAACACAAAGTGATCGTACTACTTGTAATCATTTTTTTAAGGTTTTCGCTGGCTCTAGTGGCCTTTATTTGAAAGTGCCAAGACCAGAAAGTAGGTAAAGAGAGGGAAGACATGCAGCAAAGTTCAAAAGGTCGGGATTTGAACCTGTGAAGGCCGCATTGAGGACTAAGGCCTCCTTATGTGGACTGTGCTTAACCCCTGTGCCATCACCACACCCTGTAGTCATCACTTTATGTCATTTCCTGTCATTGGGTCACACAAACTCTGGTCTCACCGCAAATGTGTAAATGTAATTGTCGTCAGGACAGGGATAGACAAGAGCCGGATCAATGTGAGCCATGTTATTGCGGAAGGCCTGGATCTGACAGATGTACTTATTCTGACATGTCAGCAGGACGCGGTTGTCAAAGCGGATGTTACGCCTCAAATTGTTGTTCTGCATAGACAGCTTTGCCGCGGGAGCTGAACTGCAATGCACACCTTCCCTTGAACAATCGTCACTGGTTTTGAAGACATTTGCTGCCCAGGTGAGCCGGCTGTTCTCACACGCAGCAATGCCGTGGAGAGATGTATGAAACGATATTTGTGAAGAGGGTGGAGGAGAATTGTAATATCGGTTATAAGAGCCATAACCATACCGTTGAGAGTTGTAGTAGTGTCGTCTTGGACTTGATGACAATTTTGATGAATCAATAGCAGTACTCCAGGTCTCACCTGTGTAGATTCTGGGCTTGTAATCACCATTCTCTTGGTCTAACTGTGATTTGGTCAGAGTACTGTAAAGTACAATAAACTGATATGCTTTCAAGACACTGTCATGATATAGATCCCTGTGAGCGCTGAAGAGAAGAGATTTGGACTCCAGATCATACAGCTTCTCAGCAGGAATCATGGGGAAGCGAATCAGACGGAGCAAATCAACCTGCTGTTCTGAACTCAGGGAGCTACCATTGTTTGTGATCCAGCTTTCAAGAACCTGCAGTACAAAATACTCATCAGGCACCACCAAATCTGAGCGGGTGAGGAGGCTATGAAGGAGCTCCAGAGGAAGATCGGCCCAAACAGGGGAACCGGTCAGGCTTTGGAAGTTCCAGGCCATGTACTGGACGCAGCTGTCCCTGAGGATCAGATCCTTTGTCTCAACTGCATACTTGTAAAGTGAAACTTGGGAGTAAAACGAAGCATCATTGGGGAGACTTTTAGAGATCACCTGACCTACATCCTCAAACAGTTTCCTTAATCCAAACTCTGAAGCAAGCTGATGGAGGCACATCGCAGAGGAATAGGTCACATTGATCTGACGAGTATAAAGGTACCTGTAATGGAGCAGATCATAAAACATTTTTAAAAGAACTAAGTACTTACAGAATAAACACACAGACATAAATTAGGTTCAGCGTACCTTATTATGGAAGTGGAATATGACTGGCAGGTTGTGTTGACAGACACTGTGATGTTATTTTCACCAACTGAAGCACTGAAGTAAGGGTATAACATGAGGATAGCTTTGTGTGCACAGATTGTATTCGTAGTCTCTTCTGGGGTGCCGTCTTCTTGTTTGGTTCCATTTGAGGTCTGGAATGTGATCAGGAAGTCACAAGCGGTACCACTGTCATAGATTATTCCGAGATCCTCTGAGAGGGTGGTGCTGTGGTCCAGTGAGAATACAGAGTCACTCTGGGTCCTCTGGGCACTACTGTCATCTTGAATTTTTAAGACTGAGAACCAAAGAGGCAAAAACATACAGGAAATATAAAAAAGGCTTAATAATATCACAAGAACAGCTAGAAAAAAATACAATCAGAAAATTTTAAACAATAATTAAAACAATTTTTCAGAAATCTAGAACATTGTGATCAAAACTAGTTAAAAACAAGTTAACCAAAATATATTTCATTGGATGATAATGGTAACTATGACATGTAAAGACGTGGTTAATTGTTTTAATACATTTATTCTAAGCATTGGTATTGAGAGAGAAGAACAAATTCTTAGTTGACAGTCTCTGAGACAGGAATGTGAATTCAATGTTCCTTACAGAAGAGAATAACAAAGAAATGATCTAAACAGTATTTAAATGTACAAATAAGATATGTACTAACTGTGAGGATATAGATGATGTTTCTGGAAAAGGTTCTTGAGGGAATTTCTAAACTATTACTTCTGTGTCTTACTGTTTCTAAGTGCAGATACATTTCCAAACAAAATGGAAGTTACTAAACTTGTACCTCTGTATAAAACTGGGAATTAATACCACTTTATGAACCACAGCCTGTCTTATTACTACCTCGACTCTCCAAAGTTCTAGAAAATTCTCTTTAATAAACAGTTAAATTCATTGACAAAAACGCAAATAAATAGTAATTTTGACCCTGTGAATCATGAATCAGACATGACCCTTATCTCAACAGGAGCAACATTTCAAAATGGAAGAAGAGCTATCTTTGTGACAGGGAGCAGCAGTTTGTCAAAATGAGTGATTACTGCTCTTCTTGTTTAGACATTATTTATACCATCCACCAGAGGTCAGTATTGGATCAGTTTTGTTCATTAATGGATTGTGTGCATTTACTTAATTACTTACTCTTCAAGCAGTGGAAAAATACATTTTTGTGAAATGAAAGGTACTTTTTCAGTACTAGAGTTAACATACTTTGTGGGTCACAGATAACTCCAGCGTCCTCTTGATGCCCGCAGTTATTTACTCCCCAGCCACTGGATCTACAAGACACAAGCTTTTGCTCTTGGCCGCTACAGCCGACGTCATCAAGCCAAATGGGTCCATGTGCTGTGTTAATAACAAAAAAATAACAACAATTATTAAGTACTTAAAGTTTCTAGAAATTACAAAAATTACCACATGGTGTGAGATGAGCTTATAAGTAGTTTTGAATTTACAACTCTCCATAGATAGCTGTCCTTTCACTGCCATCTGGCAGCGCATGACTGGAAAAATAGGGTACCTTGTCCGTAGCGGGCTTTAGTCACTGCATCTATGGCCCCTTGGAAGTTCAGTTGACGACAGACCACCTGGGCATCAGACAGGTCCCAATCGTCGTCACACACCGATCCCCATTGCCCTTGATGGTAAATCTCAACACGGCCCTCTGAGGGGCTGCTTGAGCCAGACAGCCTCACATCGCCTTCCTTTGGCTCACGGCTGCTTCCTATTTAGCAAGATCAGACAAAGGCTTGAAAGGCAAATATCTGTCATTTAAGTCAGTCAAGATGCATCAAGGAACTTATGTGACTTACTGTGATTGTTGAGCGCACATTCTCCTTCTGAGAAATACAGAAGTGCAAGAAATATTGCTGCAAGTAGTTTTGTGAACATGTCCAAACTCTAATGTAGAAATCTAAAGACAAAAAAAAAGAGAGAGAAACATGCATTTAGATGTAATTTACATACGTTTTTGATCAAATCTTATTTTCTTTTACTCCAAACCTATTGAAACATGATGGTTTAAATGGGAGATGTATTGAATTGGTTTCTGCTGCTTGGATGTTTTTATTTGGATCAGAAGGAGTATGCTAAGATACGTATAGTATTTGCTTCAAAAGAGACGTACTCTGTTGGCAGAAGTTGTAGCACATACATAAGACTAATTAAAAAAATGCAAAAAAAAATAGGACAAACAAATCTGAATAGTTTATTTATAATGTAAATACCTACTATTATTGAGAAAGTATTGTCATTGGTGAGAGGTGTTAAGCTTCTTTGGATTTGGATTTTTTAAAGTTAAAGATCTTGACTAATGCTCATTAGCTATTAAAGCATATGTTATAAATGAAAAGGATAATTTTCTGAAATTTGCAGAAGGATTTTAAAAAAATATAAAAAATTAAATCCAATTTAAAGTCAAATACAAACCTCTTCGGTGCTTTCTAACAATTGCATTTCAGTTAAAGTGAAAATAAAATAAATTCAACTATTTTTTTCTTTATGGTTTACTGCACTGGATAAAGGATATCCAGATCAAATAATAAATCACTGTCCGATAAAACAATACCCACCTTCAGCCCTCTGATTTTGATCCTCTGGAGCTGCCTCTCTTTTCAATTCTTCAAGTCAAACTTCTCCCCTTCTCCCCTGTCAAAGTGTAGTGGAAAACAAGGGATGCCGAATATATATGTTCTGTCACCAGATGTATCACTCCCCCAGCGTTCCCAGCAATTTGTTTTAGTGAATTTATTAAAGTAAAGCCGTTGTGTTTCAGTTTAGAGACCTGTCAAGACCTGCTTAATGACGGTCATGCTGAAAATGTCATACTGGAAATGTCGTGTAGTGACATGTACTTAATGATTTCTCATAAGGCTCAAAGAATAACAGACACTATTTTCACTTTCAGATTGGTTTAACTGCCATTTCAACCTGGGGAAGTTTTTGTAATACTAAACATTTCTTAAAACTTAAACAAATGTAGAGAAGTAACTTAGAAAAATGAATTGTTCAATGAACATATCTTACCATTTCAATATGATATAGTTAAAAATGCAAGTATGAAAATGTAAAGTTTTCTCATTTGCTGTCGTGCATTCATCTAATCATTCTCAGTATTTGCAAAACATTAAGTGCATTCTCAGAACAATTCGTTCATCTAAGAATACATCTATGTCATTGAATATGTTAGTCCCTTAGAAAGACAAATCCTTGTTTCATTGTGTTGCCAAGATTAGTTATTAGTAATGTTGTCAATATAAAAGTGGAAGGATGTTCGGATGTGAACCATGAGGTTTTTCAAATATAATCTGTTGAATCGCCTGTGAATTCTGATTATATTCCACTAATTTTACTCACACTTTAATCAAGAGGTTTCACGACCGTTTGTGGATCTGTCAAAACATGTTTGGAGGCTGTTTGAGAAACATACTCTGCCCCTGATGCGAAAGATTCAAGATTACCAAAAAAACCTAAAGAAAAATTGATGTGTAACAACTCTGGCAGTTGATGTTCTGTCACCAGATTTGTCAATCCCACTGCTTTCAAAGCAATTTGTTTTAGTGAATGTATTGAAGTAAAGCCGTTGTGTTTCAGTTTAGAGACCTGTCAAGACCTGTTTAATGACGGTTATGCAGAAATTGAGATACTGGAAATGTCGTGTTGTCAGGTGCGCGGTAAAGGGGTGAAAAGGAGCCCTGACCAGCAGGGGACGCTCCACAATTTAATTATTTGTATTTTGTTCATAGAAATAAAATAAAAAAAATCGGGATCCTGTCAAATACAAAATTAATCCTATTGTATTTTCAAAGATTGTTTTTAGCAGTAAAAATTTTATGTTACCCCTCCCAGACCAAAAAACACACATCCGTTTTTGCCCTGATCCCCCCTGGATCTGCATGGAATGGTTCGTTCCTGCTTGGAGCGCTTAACAATGACGTCAATCAGTAGAAGCTGCATAGACATATTTTAATATATTATATTATGTCTATGAGAAGCTGCAGCTGAATACAGAATACAGCTACCATGAAACGACTGAGCCAGTTACTATGCTGCTAAGAAAAGTTATGAAATCAGGTTTTCAAAAACAAAATAGAGAGAGGGAGAGAGAGAAAAAGGCAAGAGTGTTAATTTATAACCCAGCTTTTCTCCAAGAGAGGTGGGTAGATTGTGTGAGATTATCAACCATTTAGCATAATTAGCTTAGCTCCAGACTACTGTTTGCCTCCTTTTCACTAGCCTTTAATAAATTAAGGAAAAAAATTACCATCATATTCATATATTTAACTTGTCCCCTGTGCCTTTTACCACTTAACAGATAAGTGAGTGAGATAAGTGAGTGAGCAGAAGCTCTAACCCACTACCCTCCTGACCTGTCCTCTCCTGAGTGAAATTAAAGCTGCAGTATGTCACTTTTATATAAATATTTTTTTCACATGTTTTTTAAAACTGTCATTATGTTGTGACAGTATGGTATGAGAGGTAATGTGAAAAATCTATTTCCTCTGCCTTCTCCCAGGGTTCTCTAGAAACAACCAGTCAGTGGCAGGAAAGTTTTAGTGCTGTCAATCACAATCTCATGTGGTGTTGCTCATTCTTCCTCCCCCTTGATTTGTGCCGTGATGCAGCTAGCATAGCACAGAGCTGTGCAGATTCAAACTGTGAATGCTCAGTTTAGTTAGCATAGCTACCTAATACTAATTGACAGCACTAAGAGCGTCCTACTAGTTCTGATTGGTTGTTTATGTTAAATTCATGAGCAGTAAATATTGTGCTAGTATCAGAATTGAACCAAAGAAAGCAAGGCAGATGCAAGCCTTTAAAATTGTGACGCTTTTTATGGGTCAAATAGACTCAAAAAATTCTAACAGCAGCTGTGCAGGGGGGCCCAAAGTAATTTTTTGCCAGGGGGCCCACGATTCCTGGCGGCACCCTGCATGTAGTGACATGTACTTAATAATTACTCATAAGGCTCAAGGAATAACCACTATTTTTCACTTTCAGATTGTTTTGAACTTCAACTTGGGCAGAGTTTTTGTAACAATATGTACAAAAAACAATATGTAAAAATACATATTTATTACTTACTTTTAAATGTTTAGTTCTTCTCCTTCAACCAATCAATTTTCTTCTGTATTACTCTCATATATTTTATTTTGGGAGAACAATTAATGTGATTGTAATCTAAGTGTTGCTGCTTCATTTTTCACATTTTTACAAACTGAGAAAATGTTGAACCGCGGTGTACCAGGAGAATCCGGACAACAAAATTTGTACCCAACAGATGTGCTTTTGGACTTCAGGAATAACAGAAAGTACCCAGAGATAATCCAGAGATGTATGGAGATAACATGCAGAATCTATGCAGAAAAAGCCTAGGTTGGGATTCAAACCCAGGATTTATTGCTGCAAAGCAACATGCCATAAAAAAAACAAAAGAAAAGTTCACAGTAATGCAGCTATGAACCAGGCTTTTAATTCCTTTTCACATTTCATGGAACATTAAAAAAAAATTCAGACTCAGAAAGGTTTTGTTGTTGCTTTATTTTTTCTTCATAATAAAAAAAATATATAATTGATTGATATGACAGATATATAAATTTTTATTATAGAAATTACTGATCATAGGAATCACTGAAAGAAAAAAATCATTTAATTGAATTGCCTTTGAATCAGCTGATAATTATTGATACAAGGCAATTGCTCTGTTTGTGGTCATTATTTTCTGAAACTCCCTCTTCATTGGATCACACATACTCTGGTCTCACTACAAATGTGTAAGTGTACTTATCATCAGGACAGGGATAGGCAAGGACCTGGGTGTCATTTGTGCTCACATAAGCCAGGTCGCCTTTGAAACCTTGGATCTGACAGACGTACCTGTTCTGGCACGTCAGCAAGAGGCGGTTTCGAAAGAGAACACCGCTCGTCGACTGATACTGGTTCCGGAGAGCCAGTCGGGCTGCAGGAAATGATTCACACCGCAAACCCCGCCTTGAACATTCGTTCTGCGTTTTCAAGACATTTGCCTCCCAGGTGATCATGTTGTTCTTAAACAGAAGGCTGCTGTGGAGAGGTGTGCTCAGTTGCTTGTTAGGGGATTCAGTAGGACTTGGGTAATAACCACCATAACGACCGTAACTATCTCGGTAGCCATAATTTATGTATTGGTTTTGACTTTGAGATGAGGAAGATTTTGCCCCAGGGACAATAGTAATACTCCAGGTCTCACCTGTGTAGATTCTGGGCTTGTAATCATCATTCTCTTTGGCTAATTTTAATTGGGTCAGATTACTGTAGAGTAGAACATTGAACTGATATGCTTTCAAGACACTGTCACGATATAGATCCCTGTGAGCGCTGAAGAGAAGAGATTTGGTCTCCAGCTCATACAGCTTCTCAGCAGGAATCATGGGGAAGCGAATCAGACGGAGCAAGTCGGCCTGGTTTTCTGAACTCAGGGAGCCGCCATTGTTTGTGATCCAGCCTTCCAGAGTCTGAAGTAAAAAATACTCATCGGCAACCACCAAATCAGAGCGGGTGAGAAGGCGACGAAGGAGCTCCACAGGAAGATCGGCCCAAACAGGGGAACCGGTCAGGTTTTGGAAATTCCAGGCCATGTACTGGACGCAGTTTTCCTCGAGGACCAAGTCCTTTGACTCAACGGCATATTTGTAAAGTGAAACTTGGGAGTGAAAGGACGCATCATCTGGGAGGACATTAGAAAACAGTCGACCTATGTCCTCCATTAGTTGTTTAATTCCAAAGTCTGAAGCAAGCTGGTGGAGGCACATTGCAGAGGAGTAGGTGATATCAGTCTTACGGGTGTAAAGGTACCTGTGAAGAAAGAGATTGGGAAATATATTTAAAACAAGAATTAAATGCTTTACGAAGAAAAAAACATAACACATCAACTTCAGTCCACCTGATGAAGGAGGTAAAATACGACTGGCAGGGTTTGCTGACAGTCACTGTGATGTTATTCGCCCCCGCTGAAGCACTGAAGTACGGGTACAACATGATGATCGCTTTGTGTGCACAAATTGTCGTCTCAATCATCTCTTCGGTCCCATCGTCCTTTTTGTTTCCACTTGGGGTCTGGAAAGTGATCAGGAAATCACAAGCGGTGCCACGGTCAAAGATTTGACCGAGGTCACCAGAGAGGCCGATGCTGTGGTCCAGTGAATTTGTAGAGCCACTTATTGTCACATCATCTGGAAGCAAACAGATATCACAAAGAGCATTCAAGTGCAAGAAACTGTTCTTTAACTGGTCTTTAGCCTTAAAGACTCTGGTAATGTCTATGTTGCCTTTAAAACAAGACCAGGCCCATGCAGAGTGACAGGACCCCTACTGAGCATAACATTGAGCCTCACAAAGCACATTGCAATTTGTGAAACACAAAAAAAAACTTTCCTGGTAAGCATAATGGAAACATGGTGACCACTAGAATATTGAAAATGTCATTAAATTCAACCTAGTCTTTAAAAGAACGAATATCAGCAGTTAGATTATACAAAACATAGTTTAACACATATATTTGGAATACATTTTCTAACTTACTTCTTGATTCACAGACAACTCCAGCATCCTCTTTATGGGTACAGTCAGTTTTTCCCCAGCCACTGAACTGACAAGACACAAGTTGTTTTTCTTTCCCTGTACAGGCAATCTCATCGAGCCAAATGGGTCCAGATGCTAAAATGATTTTTTAAAAATGAAAAAAAAAAGGAAAGATTTAAAATAAATCTTTTAGCAATGCCAAACACACCTAGCTGGAGAAGTGAATTCAACTGAAATTACAACTCTCCATTGATGGGAATCATTTTACTGCCATCTTGTGGAGGGAAAAAAAAAATAAGTACAGGAGACCTGTTCCATAGTCCTTCCCAATCACAACGGATTTGGCTCCGGGGAAGTTGAGTTGACGACAAACCACCTGGGCTTCAGCTATGTCCCAGTTGTCATCACACACCGTTCCCCATTTCCCATCATGGTAGATCTCCACACGTCCCTCTGAGGGGCTTTCAGAACCAGACAGTCTCACGTTGCCTTCACTTGGCTCAGAGTTTCTCTCTAAACGCAAAAAGTCCAAGGACACATAGTGTTGTTAAACAAATATTCACAGAGTCTGAAGTTTACCCTCGGCTCATGAACAGCCAAGCGCATTATCATCCCACAGCACATGCATGACAATAAGTTGCATATTTACCCACAAAAGCAGTTTTCATTTTTCATGACCGCCAACATTTTTGTTTTAACATGAATGACAAACCATTTAAGTGACTCACGTAGAATGTCAAGTCTGTATGCTCTTCCAGAAACATAGAGAGAAAGGATGAAAGCAACAAGCAGATTTTGTGGGAACACGTCCATATTCTAGTGTCGAAAAAAAGAGAAATATGATAGACACATTAACGACTGGAATTTAAGTCAAGTAAACAAACTTTCTTTCACACTATATCAATATATAAAGTCATATCGAATGCAGACACCTACCCTTCGCCACCTCTGAACCTCCACTGTGCTCTCCAGCTAAAGGGTAAAGGGGGAACGTTGAATATATACTGTCGCTGCAGACGGCTACTCCCACCTTCTCCCCTAAGTTTCATTTCGCAGCAAAAAAGAACCAGCAAACTGTTACACAACTGTTAGTGGATCTGAAAGTTGTTTGAGGACAATTTATTATTAACCACGTCTCGCCAGAAATGTCTGGCTACCACATGCACACTCGAAGTAAAAAGACAAGACTCTTAGGAACAGAATCAATATTTTACTGTGAGCCCCTCCCCCCTCCGCCTCCAGGTCCATAAAAACAAAACAAAAATATCCCATACAGCGAATTCCAGTTTTATAAAAACATCCTTCAGATTGTTTTGAGACAAAAAAAATATGTCCAGAGTGTTTACATTGGAGCAAAGAAGAGAAAAACAATGTTCAGAGTGTACAGTGTGAGCATGAATTTGCATTACTTATTGAAAAAAAAGAAACCTCACAGCTTCATAAATCAATTCTATGTATACATTCATTACAAGAAAGGCTACAGTACTGTCAAAAGCCACATTCCATCTTCCAGAAAACAAGCTGACAATGCTCAAATGGTCTTACACAATTCCCAAACTCACAAGACAAACATTTTTTTGCAGACTAAGTCTTAAAGTCTCTTGTCTGCAATGAAGACGACCCTATGAGGGCTTTAGTGATGGATTTCCGGGAAGCAGCAAGTGTGGCAAGTTCAACAGTGTCTGGATTGTAAACAATCTTCAACCACAGTGCAGTGGCCTCAAGACTAAGAGTCTCCATCTTTAAGCCTTCTATATAAACTCCAAACCTTCGTATTTCACATCACCAATCTCAGTCTCGGGTAAGAGAATGCGTCCGTCAAGAGTGAAGGCCGTAATGTAGGTCGCGATCTTTCCCGCGTCTTCCTCTGACTTGAGCGCCAGAATGATTTGGTCATCTGTGTTGGGGATGAACTTGAACGAAGAGAAACCGTGCGTAGGGTTATGTGGCCCCACCCGGCTCACTTTGATGTCTTTGAAGTCTGGCGAGCAGCTCAGGACGAGGTTGGTCCCGCGGCGCTCGTCCGCCGTCTCCTCGTAGCGCTCTTTGCTGGCGCGACGTGGGAGGAAAAACCATCGCTGAAGGGTGTCGCTCCAGGCGGCTGACTCGTGAATAAAATATCCTGCGGAGACGAACGAGGTGTGAATGAAGTAAAGAAAGAGAGCCGGGAGTCGATTGGATAAACAAAGAGCAGAGTTTCCTCACCTGGCGGCTCAATCCCCGCAGCTGCTTTCATTGATTTGTACCTGGGAACCCAGTTTTCGTGCTGCACGTCACCCCGGAAGCCCACCACTTTCACCCACTCTGGGTTGTTGTTGACAAATTCGCCCTCAGTGGTCGTCCACTCTTTCCCCAGGCCGCCAATGTACAGGTGTTCATCCTTTACTGCCAGCCACTCAGCTTTAAACCCTGCCAAGTGAAAGCACATTTAATTTGACATTTAATAGAATTGTTCTTGTGGACAGCTGCAAGTTAACAGTCAAGTTGCACAGTATCAATTTTAGAATAGATAAGCAGCTTTAGTTCATGACAATGCTAAACTGGTTTCATCATAGAGCCTGGTGTGGTTTATTGCAAACTTGAAAGTTCCTGTTTTTTTCTTTTTGTTTTTTAACTTGGGGTGACAGCTTAGGTCAGATGGCACAAACTCAGACAAAATTGGGTGTTGCAACATCATCATCATCCTAAACTGATATTAAAACTTGTTAGATGATGGACAAATTTAACTTTGACTAAAAAAACCTTCCCCCAATCTGTTCAGAATTTGTGGTCATAAAGGCCACGACTGTGTCAGGAACCCATCAAATGTACATTAAAGGCAAAAATTCTTCAGATGTCCTTGCTGATATCTGAAAACCCACATGGCTGAGGCACAACATGTTAAGCAACATTTAACGTGTTGTGACCCAGAATGAATCATTTTGACTCTTTGTAAATTGGAAAAAAGGAACAATAAATTCAGACGTGCTTATCTCTGTAATTGTGACTCAATGGGTAGAGTAGCTGTCTTGCAGTCAGCAGATTGCAGGTTTAATTCTAGGCCACAAGCTGCCTACCGTGTACAAATGTGAATGTGGTTCTACGCGAAGCATAATGTCTCTTTCTTCTAAAGAGACTTTATGCTAAATTTGAAAGTGATCTTGTTTGATAAGTCTCTGGATGTCTGCCAAACAAAAACCTTGAAAGAACTTTAGAAATTCTGGGGGAACTATTCATTTAGACCACGTTAACAGGTCAGGATGCAACATTTGTTCTTGGAGGTACCAACTAAAAAAAAAAAAAAACTGAAATTATGTTCAAAACCTTGTCAGAGTACTGCATGATAAAAAGTCCATTCTTATACCTTTGGCAACATTCCCATCTCCATCAGGCAGGATAACCCAGGGCACAGCCTTGTCTCTGTCTATGTGGTAGATGATACCCGTTCTGTCATCGACGGAGTAGAGTTTTCCATTGAACACCACCAAATCAGAAAGCTCCATGCCCCTGCCCTTCTCTGACAGGTGACTCTCCAGCACCACTTTGTCAGCGTCCCATTCAACCGCCACCTTGTCTCCACTCTGCGACACCAGCAGGTACCCCCTCCGCATGTAGCTGAACCACGTCAGCTTCTTCTCGCTGGCAGAGTTCGTGTCCAGGTCCGCGATGACCCCGATGCGGTAGCGCATTCCCTGCGATGTGCGCTCAGGAGGAGTCAGAGGGTAGGTGTCGTTGTACTGCGAATCGGCGTCCCTGACTGCGCTGTCGCGGCAGGGTCTCCAGCCCTGCGAGCCGTACGAGCGGCCTGAACCGAAGTGCATGAGGAGAAGCAGAACGAAGGTCAGGGATGCGCCCACGGCCACGATGGGCCTCCACTTGAGCCGGAATCGAGGGTCGGTGGGACTGGCCATGGACGCCAGCATGGGGAGGCCTCCTACAGAGATACGCAAAGGGTTCATAGGATCATTCTGCTCCAGTCGAGTGTAGCCTGGAGGTGCGGACATGGAGGACGGAGGCCGAGAGCGACCTACGCAAGAAGACAAATTGCAATTCAGACATTGGCATTAAAAAGACACGATCAAAAGGTCAACAAAATGAAAAAAAAACCTCAGATTTATCACACCGAGAAATATTTAGCTAATGCAACCCAAAACTTCAGTTTCTTCAGAAGTGATTACCTGCTGCAATAATACTGTAATTCTCACGAAAGGAACCTCGACCACATTTTGACTGAAAATAAATTAATTTAATAAAAGCAGTCCGACATTTGCATATTGGAAATCCTTTTCTGATTGCTCACATCCTGTACATTAGCTGAAGCCATATTCTTCAAAGTGACGAGAAATGAACACTTGTTCACATATTACACAACTTATAATAAATGCCAGTTTTACATTTTTGATAGGAGTTATTTAAATTACTTTAATTTTTCAAGGATATTCAAGGATAGCATTAAGACGCGCATGTAAACTGGCTCTACAAGTAGTGAATGGATAGGTTGTTCTGGTTCCACAAGTTTTATTCTTATTGCTTTGTTTGCTTACCGTCCCTAAAAATATGCCAATTCAAAAGCCAACGCCATTAAGAAACCGAGCCCAACTCCTAATTTGCAAGCAACAGGTGAAAGGACAAGATGTTACTATGAATCCTAAAAACATGTTTTAGGATCCATATATTAGTTATTAGTTGTCAGAACTAATAACATTAGAGAAACAAATAAAATGTGCTTCACGCACAGTGGATCACTACATGCTATATTTACTGCTCCAGAGTAAGGAAAGTAAACTGATTTTGTTGTCATTAAGTTACTAACAAATACGTTTCATTCAGACGTCCTTTCAAAACACGAACACGAGTTACTTACTCAACGCCTTCTTTCTGGGTCTGTAGTTTAGACTGTATTCAGTTAACTTTTTCTCGATTATACGCTCTCATAAATGTGTTTGTTAAAGCAAAACCAGGAGCAGGAAGAAGACCAGCTGTGGGCGGGGTAAACATCAGAGCAGCCACCAATGTGCTTTGTCTGCGTGGACGTTAGGAGGACGTCATATAAATCAGAGGCTCTAACCGGTAAATCAGGAAATACAGGCGTGTGGATTACAAGGTCCAAAAGCAGACACTGGTCGTTTTTCACTTAGACGTTACTGATTCTTTCAATTATACATACTACATTTCAAGTAAGATTTTGGCCCGTTATTTAAAGAAAAGATAAAGAGAGACTGAGGTTTTAAAAAAAAAAAAAAAAAAAAACTGGTTCCCCAAGGAATCTTTTCGGCTGTTTTACGGATTTGTAACGCAAGACAAAGACATTTTAGAATGCAGAAATAGACACAGAAACATTCTAAATCTTCATATAATTGATTTTCTATATTCAAATGGAGAATCAAATTATTGCCAACTTGTTGCTCAGCAGGAACCAGCCTGAAAATCTTTCAGCATAAAGCTCAGACACAGCTCTGTAGTTGTAAAATGCATATGAAATCTGTTGCTAGGTATCAAGTTTGTTGCTCAATCCTGAAAAAGAACATTTCGAAAGATCTAAGAAAAAAAAAGAAAAAAAAGAAAGAGCATCTAATAATCGTCTAAAAATACAGATTACAACCAAATGGCGAAATAAGTAATCTCTATCTTATTTAAAATTTTACTTACTTTCCTCCACCAGCTGCAGTTCTTTTAAGTTGTCTTATTTCTTGCTCTATCTGTATGTGTGGATCCGGTGAGTTGAGTTGCTGTTTTCTTATAGCAATTTCCTGTCATTAAGATTAACACCTGTTCTCTTGTCTTTCCCATTTTGAAAAAAGGCTAAGAGAAATAGGTCTTTTCACACTGTATTTGTATCTCAGGGGAAAAAAAAAAGGAATAATAGATCCGTACTTACATTTACATTCATAGCCTCAATGATTTAAAAATAAAAAATAAAAAATCATTCAATAAGCTCTCTTTTTTTCCTCACTTGGAAGCCAGCATGGGGAGACATAAAGATTCACTTGCATAAAGATTTAATGATCTGAATAAAGGTTGAAGTCTTCATTTGATTAGATGTTTATT